GTTTACTAAAATATCAAAAATTAATAGAATAGAACAGAATAGTTAAATATTATTTACCAATAAGTAAACTATCTTTATTGTTGATTTTATAAACAGATTTGCATTTATGTTTGTCTCGACTAACTCAAAAACTACTCGACTCGACTATTTTGAATTCTATGAGTTTCAATATATTTGAATATTAATTGACATTTTAATTATTTAAATGTTCAAAATATAAATGTCCAAGCGCGTAAAGCCGGGATAGCAAGCCTGTTGTAAAGTCTTACGTATGGTTTTCTATATATTTTAAATTTACTTACTAATATAACTACCAGTACTTTTTTATTACGCTTTAATTTTTAACTTAAAAGAAAGGCAAAAATTGTGATTATATTTTCATCTTAATTTATAAAAATTATTAGTTTCATTTATATGTAATGTATTAAAAGGTATAAATATTAAATTCCATAAAAATACATGTCCAAAAATAATTAGTGAAACTCACCCTTAAATCCATTTAATCAGAACACAATATACACGTAGCACAATTTCTATACGATGTCAAACGTAACGTTATCAGAGTTTTACAACTAGCGCGACAACAGACAGACGCGTGACACTAAAAGAGGCCAACTGATCGTATTTGTATCCGACTGAACACTGTTGTGTCTGACCGTACACTGAAGTGTCCGACCGATCACTATTGTGCCTGAGGAAAGTACAATTCGACTGTGATTCTCGGTCTAGTCTATAAACTATTATCAATCGTGAATTATCGGAATGTCTAGACTAATATTGTATTTATAATTACTAATAAATAATGTTTTACCAATGCAAGTACTACCCTTGCTCTTTCGTAGTAGACGTAATACCCTAGTATCGTTCTAATACATTTTTTAATATTCTATATTAAAAGAAAAATGTATACTCCTAGCCTAAGTCCTATAATAAGCTGATAAGAACAGTAGTATGTTCATAGCAAATAAATAAATAAAGGTAAACTGCAATATTAACTTTTTGACATCAAAGTCGTGGGCACTATTGAAACGTCGATGCTAGATGCATTCAGTTAAAAAGATCGATGCAATTCAACCAACGAAAAGTTTCTACAACTAGCAGTTGGTCGCGACATCGGTTGCATCTTTGTTCGTGTGGAATTAAAAAAACTTATTAGCCTATATGTTCTTCCAGATTATGTTCTACATCTATGCCAAATTTCAGCGATATCCAGACAGCCATTCAGGAGATACATTTTAACAAACATCCATCCAAATTTCACGTTTATAATATTGGTAAGATTTATTCACTTACTATTACGTTCCTTTCATAGTAAAAAATGTTAAGAACTCTTTTATAAAGTCGTGTACCTAATCATTTGAATTAAGATATAATTAGCATGACATAACGATTATGATAGCATCAATCTTATAAGAATTCGTAAACTGAATAAATTAAACAATTGAAATAAACCGTACTAAACAAAAATCAAAACACGCTACTTTTTAAGCCTATTAGGGAAAAGGTTAATGAATTTCTTGTGGAAAATAACCGCCATTTGTTTGTAGCGAATAAAACAATGTCACGCTTAATCTATAAATAAGAGGAGTCGCGAATACTGGCCGGCGCACAGGAGACGCGGGGGCGGTTGCGGGCACAAGGGCGGGGACGGATGCGAAAAATTGGCACGCGCATATAAAAGTTTACATGCATCTAAAATTGACTGACACCAAATGACGTGCATCGCAGCCTCACTTTTATAAACAGAATCAAATCAAAATGCAAAAATTCCACAATCCACATACAGGGTGCCCAGAAAGAAAACAAAGAACTCATTTATAGTAAGCATGAGTAAATGAATTATATAGCTAAAACAAGGAACATGTTGAGGGGGGAAAGATTTTTATGTCTTGGGTCTTGCGAAAGACAGAGCTTTACAACATAATTCATTGTATTAGAAAATTAATCGTTGCCTTATTTAGATTAGGTTGAAGAGAAAGTGTAGCCAAATGTAGCGATTTCTTAAAGTACACAGCTGGAGGAACTGCGAGGCATACATAATTAATGCACAAGTATAGACCGTCAAAGAGAAAGACTGTTGTAGTTTGATGGATAAGACGACTTTAGATGTATATTTATGACTCTGACCCGTACTTGTTATCAATGTAAGGCAAACATTGGAATAAATATTGTACATCTACCTCTATCGCACTTCACGTTGTTTATTTACTTCTTCAAGATATAAATAAAGATTCGCGGAGTAGAGATTCAATACCAAACAAAGTAGTACTAAAAATTATTCACTTTCATCCTTATTTGTAACATACTTGTAATCTTCTGACATTATAACTTAGAATGTTTGGATGGATGGATGTTTGAAGGCATCTCCATAACGGCTGTACGGATCTTGCTGAAATTTGGCATAGATGTAGAACATAGTCTGGAAGAACACATAGGCTACTTATTAAGTTTTCTTAAATTCCGCGCGGCCAATATTTGTAGCTCTTTATAGTCACTATAAATAGTTAAAGTTATTTCCTTTCGCCTTTGAATTAATTAGAATAAATTCTGTGATAAAACTACAGGTAACAAGTCAGCTTCGTATCATTAGCACCATAAATAAAAAAAAGATCCAGTGATTTTGCAAAATAATACCTAAATTCAAATTTAAAATAACTAATAATTTTAATGGCCGGAAGATATGCCATTATGTCTACGAAAGATACTTTCGTGTACTAAAATAACATGATAATTTAAATAAGTCTTTAATATAAGTATTAGCAATTGGCAAAGTATTCTGGCAATTGATACCTAGGTGTGTGGTCAACCACACCTCCCACCTACACACAAGACATCGGCGTCACATGATATGGTCTGATTGTCTAATGCGCTATTAAAATGTACATATGGAAATTCATAGTGATTGCTTATGAATCACTCGAGCAAATGTCTATTGCTAAGCTTGCGGGGTTAGACAAAGTGCATTCGCTCCGAAACGATTCCATAACGAACTTCAAAAAGGTATGGAACTGACATACGACAATCACGTGACTTATCCAAAGTTATTGTCAGTTCTATACATTTTTGAAGTTCGTTATGGAATCGTTTTGGAGCGAATGCATCTTGCCTAACCCTCCTGTCTTTTGAAATAGCGCACTGACTATAAAACACATTCAGAAGAGTTCTGAGTTGGCTATAACATTGGGAGGTTCGTGTTTGTAGGTATGCCCACGTTGGACGTACGTCGTACGATGTTTATGAATTTATTCCGCCTTAAGTTGATGAATATATTCCATTTAAAAAATAGTTTGTAAAACAAGTAAGGATAATAAGATACTAAGAAATTACTACAAATCCTTTCGCTGTCGCTCTTGTTCAATATTTGTTAATAATTTGCCATCTTGCTAATATTTTAAATGTGAAAATTAGGATGGATGGATGTTTGTTTGAAGGAATCTCGAGAACGACTGTATGACTTTCGCTGAAATTTGGCATACATGTCGAACAAAGTCTGGAAGAACACAAAGGCTACTAATTAAGTCTCTTTTTAGTTCCGCGCGAGTAGAGTCGCGGGCATTAGCTATATTAATATAATACGCCCAAATGGTGTTGCCGAGAATATAAGCTTGCATTTATAGTAGACTCATAATTTATTCTGAAAGTCCTTGAAAATATCTTGAAATTATAATAATTGTAGAGTAAACTAAACAATCATCAGCTACGTATAGACGTTCCCTAACGATGGGCTAGGATCCTACCCTAAGTTAGGGGTGACTAGGCCATAGTCAACTAAATAATAGTCGATTATAATTATTGTCATTATCAAAGTACGAACAATATTATAGAAATCCTATTGTACTTTAGAATAGTTTACACGGAGCACACAAATGACGTAACTAACTTATCTTTGAAGTGGAAGCACACGCTATAATGTTTATTCACGTATCATTAAATCATAACCTTACTCAATATGTGGACTGTTACACTGGTCATATAACAAAGAAATACATTTTAAGAGTTTCCACTGCCTTTATACCTGAACAGAAACATTGTTATCTCTGCGGTTAAAATATTTTTTGTTCAAGTGCTTTTCATAAAATAGATTTGTAATTATAATCGAGAAGTTCAGTTTCAAGGTAAGACAATCTTAATATTGCGAATATTATAAATGCGAATTATTGGGATGGGTGTTTGTTGGAATGTATCTCCGGACCGGCTAAACGGATCTTGATAAAATTTGGCACAGACTTAGAATATATACTGGAAGAAGACATAGGATACTTATTAAATTTATTTTTAATTTAACGCGGATAGAGTCGCATGCAACAGCTAGTATTTCAAATATTATTATTTAAATCAAGTAAAACCCGCAAAGGAAAATGGATATATAAATTAAAGATTATACTTAAGTGCATTTTATAATTGGGGAATTTTCCATTTCAAAATATTTGCTTTACGCGTCGTTACATTTATCAATACTCAATAGCGCTATAAATACAAATATCGTACGATTTGTGCACGAAAGTGATTGGTCAACTCTGTTTTACTTTCGACACTTTAAATATAAATAAATACGTAAAATGAGACAATATTTTCATTAAAATTATATGATAGTGTGGGTATAAGACAGCAGTTAATATGTAGGTTGAAAATTCTTATTAATATTATGAATGCGAATGTTTAGATAGATGTATGGATGGATGTTTGTTTGAACGTATCTTCGAAACAGCTCAACGGATCTTTATGAAACTTTTTACAGATTTAAAACATAGTATGAAAGAACACATAAGTTACTAATCAAGTTTTTTTTTAATTCCGCGCGGACGGAGGGGCGGGACACAGCTAGTATTCAATACAGTCGAACCTGGACGAGCGATAGCCGGTCCCGATAGATAGACTCGATAAGTTCCATTGGGTTAGAGAGAAACTTTTATAAGCTAATAACACCACGGTCTCTTGGACTCTCGCTTATTCATGTTTGACTGTATTTCAAACTTAAGTGTCAATAGTAAGTTACTTACGAATCTTTTGGTGTGCTTTTGTACAGAGTGCAGTGCGTTTAGTAGATATTTGACAGCTCCCGACCAAATCTGACAGCAGAACTCCATACACCTCCCCTCCTCGCTATATACAAACAAACATATATTAGAAACGTTTCATCATTATCAGCTTACTATACGTCCCCATCGAGGGGCTCGGACCTACTCTAATTTATAAGTGATTAGGCCATAGTCAACCACGTTGGCTATGCGGGTTGGTTGACTTCCCTCATATCTTTGAATTTCTTTGTAGATATGTGCAGTGCATCACGATGCTTTCCTTCACCGTATTCCAAATAATTATTTTTGATAATAAGATATTATTGTCAACAGTCTCAGATTAAATATCCTTTAACTATGACAGTAAGTAGGTATAACTATCTGTTTTAGGTTAGAGTTATGACAATATGACGCGGGTTCTTGCACATTGTTATTCGAAACTAGCTGTTACCCACGAATTCATCTGCATGTTTCTTCGAGTCACAAATTCATTAAAAAGAAATCAAATAAGCCAGTTACATCAACTAGCTTCCATTATTAGTCTAGACTCACAAATAGAAAAAAAGTTGTTAAAAGTATCGCAATTTTCTTTTAATATTACATACAGACAGTCAAATTTTATTTATCTGTATAGATATTATATGTAATTAAATTAAAATGCTATTTAATATTTATTTACGCGTATATATGTGTATATTATATACCTGAATGTTACAACATACAAAGGCAATGACTGATTACAAGCGAGCAAGTACTATACGAAAATGCAACAAGAATTCGTCCCCACCCATAAACAGATCAGCAGACATACTTGGCAAATTGGACTGCATTATTGTGCCAAGAAATAAAGTGCTTTAATTGCTAATTCTCAAAGTATTTGGGGAAATTCATATATGCACATATGATATACATATAACATAGAGCATCGGTGGCTCAGCGGCTAAACAAGTGACTTGCAATCTGCAGGTTCTGAGTTCGAATTCCGCCACGTATCAATATATTTCGATTTACATATATACATTTATTCGAAGTTCTTACAGTGAAGGAAAACATCGTGCTGTAACCTGCACATATCTAAGAAGAAATTCAAAGATATGAGTGAAGTCAGCCCGCACTGGGCCAGTTGACTATGACCTGATTACCTCTAACTTAGGGTAGGTAGGTCTCAGTGGGGACGTATATTGATGTTGATGATATAGGTAAACATAGCTCCATTGCATTTAACACATAAGAAAAAATATTGCCTAGGTTGAGTACTAACAGAGTTTTAGAATAATTTGAATTATTTTCAAATTCTATCTTGTTTTAAATCAATACAATAATGTTTAATTTAATCCCAAACAAATGAAAACGATCAAATCTTTTCATTTTATTACTTGTACAAAATAGAGATTATCAGACCTGTCATGTAAAAACGGAGATATTTTTGCACAAGCATCTCCGCACTGGAAACCTATAGGTGTTATTTTGAATCATAGAGCACGTAGTGCTAAAAGTTGTAACACCCAATAATGTTAAAAAATTACTAATAAATAACAAACTAATACTTTTATTTTTGGGACAGCGTTAGTTGGCTTTAAATTCTAGTTGCATGTTTCTTTGTTTATGGTATTCTCACCGGGAAGTGTCAAAGTCCGAACAGGTCGAGTAACAGAACAACTATCTCTACGTGTATTGAATTTTAATTATATACCGACGATATGATTGCTAGAAGAATGTAGTTAGGCCCGACAAAGAGAAATATTGTAAAATGTATAATATTAATACCACTTTTAAAAATTAAAAACCCAACTGACAGGCGCTCATGGATGTGATAGCGCCATCTATTGGCCGCTTTTTATAACACAGATTTAAAAGTTTTTAATTTAAAGTAAATAAACTCTAATGTTATTGTATTATATGTAGCCCTTTATTAATTAAGAAAATATTAGAAAACATCTAAAAACTCATTTAACGGTGAAATAACGTTATGACGATTGAGATTCGAACTCGTTTTCATTAATTTAGAATTTTACTTTCTACGAATACTACATTTGTTTTATGCCGTTGTAATAAACCCTATGACTCTATGAAGAAGACGAATCAAATGACACCTAACTCGTAGAAATCAGTTTAGTCACCTAGGCTCTAGGGAGTGACATAAACCTACATAAAAACAAACTAACGTACTCGCGATTTCACACACTTTTCATTCAGTACAAGAGAATTCACTCTTTCTTTGGTCGTATTTCAAACAGTTTAACAAGAAGACATTCTTTTCTTGATTGTAAAAAATTAAATTCAATAAATCACCTTCAATATGAAATCTTTAATACATTAATTGTCATATAAAACAATATAAAGCTAAGTATCCTGTTCATGAATGAACTATTGAATAGGAAACAAACAGTCAACTCAATGGACGTATAATGAAAGCAATTGAAGTGAACGTGAAACAGCATTGTCTAGAAATCGACTCTTTCAAAATATTCCCTAAGCATTGCTTTATGAATTTAAGTGTTATTCCAGTTATTTTTACGTATAAAACAGTAGGTTTTTCTCACATATTTTAATGCAATTTTCAGCTTATCTTACTAATATTATAATTGCGAAGGTTTTTATGAATGGATGGATGTTTGTTATTGTATCTCCGAAACGGCTCAAAGGTTCTTCATAAAATTTGGCACAGATGTAAAACATTGTCTGCAAGAACACATAGGCTAATTATTAAGTTTTTTGCCGCGGGGAGTCGCGGGCGACAGCTAGTTGTTAAATAAGACAAGCGTTAACAATTATTACTTTCAAAAATCCCATTACCTTGTTTTAAATTACTACAGAAATAGAGTATTAATTATTGTTATTAATGTGTGTACTACTCTAATGGCTAACAATAGATAGAGTAATATTAACTTAAAATTTGCCAAGTTTATTACGACAGACACGTCTAAAGTTAAGCTCTACATAACCGCAGTCAGTGACCTAAGCCTGGTTTCTAATTTCTTAGTTCGTAACAAACATGTTATAAATCAATATAACCTATAAAAAAATAGTAATTTTACTTCCACAATTAAGACAAATATCTCGTATTAAAATCGTGATGATAATTACTATTAATTGTGGAAAAATCCGTGATATAACTAAATAACATTTATAGTATATTTTTTTCGCTCTCAAATGTATAAATCACAGTCATTTAATTACAATATCGCCGACTTTAAAAATTTTGGAGTAGAATTTTATTATATTTTATCGATTCATACGTAGAACATAAAAAATGTAGATTACGAGTTTAAAGTTCTTAAAAGATACATCACAAACGCCAAATTACTTATTATCTTTTAATGTATTTTTCAAAATAACATAAAACACACAAAATTTATCAATCATCATGTTTATTTTTACAGGTTAATATGGGGAACCGAAGTACTAAATGTTTGTTAGTTCTCTCGGACATTGACTTAGGTCAGAGGTCAAGGTCACGACATTTTCATTGAATGAAAACTAATTGTAACAAAACTACGACAATGTTCTTATAGTAAACAATGACATACCAACTCAACATTATTCGATTTTCAAATGTAGAATTGAGAATTAGTCAAATTATTTTTTAATGCAACGCAATTACGGACAATATTTTAGTACTTACAGAATTAAATTCGGTGTCTTCGTTAGCAAAATCCAAGTCAATTTAAACCACAACACGAGCACAAAGACACGTAAACACGGTATTGCAACTGAAAACGAAAGTGATGCGTACTTCAGTAAGCGTGAAATGAATTTATTTACATGTAGGACTGCGTGGCGCGAAACGTCGACTGGCTGAGGACGGGCTAAGGTCGGGCGGCGCGCATGCGTCATCCAGACGACAACGGCGGTCTGACTGGTGCCTGCCAACACCACGAGCTCTGCCAACATCCTCACTACGTCACTGCAAGAGGAAAAAACATTTCATGAAGAGAAAACACTAATATGTTCATGTCAAACATGGCGCTTAGCTCGAGGCCAAATCTTAGTTGCAAAAAATAAAAAGTACAAAAAATTTAAATGAGTTTAAGATCACTAAATAGTTCTTATGATCTTGAAGGTTAAGAAGGTACTCAAATTGGATACTTACAGTGACAGCTTAAACACGGTTGTATGCAACATGATTCTTGAGTGATATGACGTTACAGCACTTTTAAAAATACCCACAAAAAATCTACGTCACTGATTAAGCAGATACGTCTAAAAATATTAATAACGAAAAACGTAGAATGTACTAAGAATACTGTAACTAAGAAAATAAAATATTCACAATATTAATCAAATATGTCCAAAAAAATATTTTTTAGGATTTTGTTAATTTTTATTAATGCGCCATCTATCATACGCTCTAAGAAACACAAAAGTGAAAAAGGAACAGTGTCATTTTATGTCTGCTAGATGTCACTTTTCTTAATGTTTGTAATTACCTACAGGAAATACTGCATTATAATTTTGTATTTCGCAAATATAATGATGGGATTTAAATAAGTATATCACAGTGAATCCACGAGCGTACAATTATTACTAAAATGTAAATTAAGATTTTCCATTATTTACTAGGAAGATCTAACCTGTCATTTGAAAGAAAAGAGGGACGTAAAGACGCAAAAAACCATCATCCATCAAGGTAGTATAAAAGATGACAAAATAATTTAAAAAATATGTATTTCCGGTCAATTCACAATCTTGGCATAGCAATAAAAATGCAATTATTATTTTATTTTCATCATCAGCCAGTATCAATTTAATATTGGACATAAGCCAATGCCTTGAAATACGATTCGCAATTTTCCGCATTCGGCAACTAAACTAATACATAAACCTATAGATATCTTTGTCTATATTTAACTTTTAATTAATCTTATTTTGACCATGTAGTCGTTTGTAGTAAACATCAAAGGTCAGATTAGGTACCTAGTAATTATGATGCCAGAAGAGTTACGATTTTCGAGTAAAGAAAGGAAAGATATTTTTTTTAGTTTCATCTAAGATTAACAATATTATATGTACATTCGTTCACGAATTATTCATAAACTATAATTATGGAAGTATCTAGAAGAACATTAATTTTTATTCTGCACGACAATAATTCAGATTGTTTTGAAATGAAATTGAATTCCACTACAATTTAAATGTTGTTTTATTCATAAGTTTATGCTGAACGACCGAATCCCGCGACCACAACAACTCGTAACAGTGAAAGTAATGCCGTTTCTTTTTTTTTAATCTGTAATTATAACGGTATGTAATATAATTTTGCTTGAAATAACTAAAATTAGTAATCCGTGCTTCTAATTAACAAAAAAAACAATTAAAAAATTAACACACTTCATGAGTTGTAGATCATATAATGATGTATAAAAATCTTATGTGATTTGTTTCTGCGAATAATCACATCACAGATTTTACGGAATTACGTTTCAAACAGTTCACAAAGTGATATTCTTCACCATCCAGGGACCGCGAAGTTGTCCATGTGCAAGATAATTGTTCAGAAAACCGAAAAATATGTCTAAATTCTTCGGCAGTAGAAACCCACGGCTACAAGTGATACCCCACAGTTGAAGTTATTGCGGTCAGCAGTACTTTGCTGCTATTTGCATTACATACTTAAAGCTAAAGAAATAGTTTTCTCTATTTCATTTAAATTTAATAAATATTTTTGTTTAAATAATTAGTTTTATAACTTTTCATTTGGTGACAAACGAGCAAGCGCTTAACCCCACCTGAATTAGCCGAAACGGCGAAGCGACCGCTGCACATACACATTGACCATTGCAGATGCGTTTGCTACCTTTAATCGACGAAACAGGAGACGCAAAGGAAAATAATTTTCCCTTTACTATGCGTCCCCTTCTTAATCAAATCTATTTCCCTTCTCATCCCTTCCTTATAAAAGAATGTGAAGAGAAAGAGTACTAAATTATCACCTCTACCTTTTAAAAGTTCCATCAAGGTGTCGTCACCTTTATCTTATATGCGAAAAAAGGTTAAATATTCACAATACTTTACATAAGTTAGTTTTTAGCTCTTTGTTTGTAAAGATAAGACACATAACTCAAATATCAAAGGCAAACGATATGCTACACGTGATATTTATGTAGTAGCAGCTATTGTTCTCCTTATAACACTTCGGAGTATGACGTTTGTCGCCAAAGATTCGAATAGTACAAAGATTTAAACATAATACTGCGTTACATCCATTATCAGTATTAGCAATTACTTAAAATTATAAGCGTTTCAATTTAAAAGAATTAACGTTGCATTCTTAGAGGAATTACTTGGTCCTTTCTCTAAAGTTGTATTATTAGATATTGCAGGAAAACTTTTCAGTAACGTGACAAGCTTCTGGCTTGTGAAGCCTCTATAGTTTTATCAGGTTAAAGGTGGTAAACGAAAGTCACATAGAATAAATTAATCTTAGCCTCAGTTTACAGACCGGTACTGCCGTTGCATTATTGGGGCACCATAACTATCTCTTCTCCCCCTTCAGTCCACTTAACTTGGATTAAAGGACCTCAAAGGGCCCGAAAAAAGACATTACGCTGTTGTTTGCGCACTTAGCAATTTAATTCGAAGTTCCCCGCATCCTCGTTCGATTCATAACTATTATATCAGATTACTTAAAGCGTATGAGGAAAGTTGAGGCTCAACTTTCCTCATACACATTTCTCACTTTTGCAGTTCTCACTGCCCACTAGTCACATAGCTGTATACATTTATATGCGTAAACGTGAGCACCGAGGCCAATGGGAGAGCACAGGTGAGTTTATAATCACTACCTTTTATTACGCACACACACGCGTGCTTTGTCTTTTTATACCTCTTTTATTCCAATCTTTTAAAGGCGCTTTTTGTTTTTTTTTTCAGAAACATGAATAATGTAAATATGCGTCTCGACCAAACTTCGCGCGAATAGAACTGTATACAAATATTGGTGGTAATATTGAAATATAAACGGACTTTATCCCGGTCAAACATGATCGAAACTAAGATTTGCATATGTAAATGTTACACAAGAGAATGAAAATAACCTTGATGTTATGGATTTGGGATAACCGCAGACACCAAATTCTTCTTCCGTTGAAGTAAATCTGAAAACGTTACCGAAAAACGAAATGTCTGAATATTGATTTACAAACTGCGCTGTTAAAATTAAATTTCTGTTCAACTTAGAAAGTTTATTCATGTTTACCAAAATAAAAAAAACATGGTCGACTTTTGCTTTTTTATACTCAATCATCGTTTTATACTCCTCTATATTTAAGTATGCTAAAGAAAATACGACCATTGTCTTAAGTACCCGATCTAAAACAACATATTATTGAAACGTTACCGTTTAGTTAACGTTATATTTCAAAATTTTAAAATGAATCATATCCATACAGTGAGTCACCAATGTCAAAACAAATGTACAAAACATTGTTTTTTTTAGGGGATATGCAAAGTTGTTTCAGAAGTTTGGTTATGCATATGACCTTGGTAGTCTGGCTTATAAACCATATTGTCGAGCGCTATATAATGCTGTTTCTCATGTTCTTATATTGCTTATTGAGTAATCTCTAGTTGGTATGAATGTGTGCACAGCCCGTGACGCAGTTGTCACAATAAGGCGGGCAGGGTCTGTTGACAACTCCCTAACAATATCATTTCCTGTCTCACCTACTTATGTGAAAACCTATACTCTATAATATGAAAAACGTTGGAAACGAAACTTATATCATTGATCTCTGAAAACAACAAAAGGGAATTCATTTCCGATCATATTTTTTGTCATGAAATTAAAAATCAATTTATGTTATTTAAAATTTTCAATTATTATACAACTGAAAAAATAATTTTTCAAAACTAAACAATTATGAAGTTTTTTTTTACTATTGAAAAATTGGAATTTATCTAAATGTCTTAATAGGAACTGCTATAATGAAAATAAAAGTTAAACACTTAAATAACAAGCTCATTTTGAAATTTTATTCATGTAAATTTGCAGATATAATTATTACAAATTATGATCGTGTAAATCGGGACCTATGATAAATAATTAAATAACATATCTAGTAACTGGTTGAGAGGTCTCTGTCACTGCCGCCCCATCTGTCGCCAGCTCCAGCCATTGTTAAATTTAGATGACTCATTGATATACAAAAAGGCAGTCTCGGAAATGTGGCGTTACAAATACTGTCTTATCTCTAAGTTTACATTATGAGATTTTTATTGTGATAGTGATAAAAAAAAACAAAACTTAAACTATGTGAACATATCTACTTCCTGAGTTGCTACATGACACATAACTGCTTCAGGTTTCTCACATCCTAGGTAGTTTCAGGTGCACAGCTATATGAGCTAAAAGTCCTAGAGATTAATGTGACAAACCCTATATTGTCTATATGTCATCATACATCACAATTTTTACTAAAGCTATCTGTACAAGAAGGGAAAATTTTGGATTTTTACTATTAGTATGCCAATAATTATAACCACATAAATGATTCTACTAGTTTGAGCAGCGTTTGTATTATATACATTGCTACCATTGCAGGAGATATCTATATATTTTTTGCAACAATTTAGTAACTGCTCATAATTATTCATGGAATTAGGGATATCTATTAAAACAACCTAGATAGGAATTGAACTATTCACAAACAAATCCATAAATAAACTTTGATTGAAACATAAAACATGCAAATACTTAGTGTGTCGACACTACCGATTTTATGAATGTGGACCATTCATAACAGAGAGCGATAAAGATTATTCCTCAGACTCTTTTTGTTCAAGTAGGCTCTTCTTCAGCCAAGGGTGCTGCAGGCACTCATAGGCCGTCGCTCGCCGATTGGGGTCAAAGTCTAACATAGGTTTTAAGAAATCAGCAAACTCCTCCGCCTCCCTCTGACTCCATTCATATTTATCTTTTAATACAGAAACTAAGCCCCAAGGCTTCAACCCTGTTATGTTTCTCAACTCACCTTTCTTGTTAAAGAATACCTTGGAATATTTTCCTGAAGCTGCAATACGTTTGGGGATATCGCCAAGTAACTCTATAATATGCGCCAGGTGGTCTTCATCTCTACTGTAACCATCTCCGGAATGAGGTTCAAATAGGTAATCCCCTGTGGCAAGTTCAAATGCCATGCAAGCTGTGCTCCATATATCTGCTGATGTGCCATATCCTGCACTCAACAACACTTCCAAGGACCGATACTGTCTTGTTTGTATATCTTCAGTGAAGTGCCGGTGCACCCAACAAGCATTTCCTAGATCAGCAATCTTCACCTCAATGTCGCACACTTCAAATGCAGGATCAGGATTTTTATCAAGCATTTTGTCCTTGGTTTGAGAGTTGAAGGAGGGTGGAGTATCAGTCATTTCTCCTTCGGACATCGGTGTTCCAGGATCATCGCCACAGTTATACTGCTTATTTCTTACTTGCACTGAATCAGCATCTGTGTCAAATGCGTCGTCATCAGCTCTTTGTAAGTCATTGCAACCATTAATATTAGGTTCAATGTCTGACCGTGTAGTTTCAATAACGCTCGCCTCCTCCGGTGTTTGAGGGGAATCATCAATATCCTGAGACATTGGAGCTGACTCACTGTTGTTTTCAATCTTTTTCTGTTCTTCCATTTCCTCTATTTGTTCCATCTGCTTCTTAAGTAACATGGACTGACGTTTGGCTTTTTTCTTTAATTTTTTCTTTTTATTTCTACTCATTTTTGAAGTGACTACAGGCTCCTGGAATTCCTTTGGTGCTGTGCTAATGAGGGAATGGGGCAGTCTCAGGCCAAGGGAATGTAGCTCTGTTGCTTCAGCGGCCAGCTTTCGAATATAAGCTTCATCGACACAAACCAGGACATTTTCAGGTTTTATGTCAGTATGTATTATTTTACACTTGGTATGTAAATAATCCAGGCCTTCCAATACCTGTCTTATAATAGTTTTAACATTTTCACGTGGGATACCTCTATAGTTAGATTTGAGTATTAGTTTCAGCAAGTGGTGACCAAGAACTTCAAAGACCATACAAACATGTGTTCCATTCACACCAGTAATTTTAAAATCATTTAGCAACTGAACCGTCTTGTTTCTTTTCGGATCGGCGGGATCACTATCACGAACCGCCTTTAAAATTTTGATTTCATCTAGAGCGGTTTCGGTAAAGTGGGGCGCTGATTTAACTACTTTTAACGCTACAAAACGCTTGTCCACAAGATCCCAACACAACCACACAGTAGAAAAGTGACCCCAGCCCAGCTTCCTGGTGACGTGGTAGCGGTTCAGGAATAGATCTCCTATTTTGACAGGATGGTATCCACCCTTACAGTAATCGGCGCTGTCCTCCTGCTCCTCGTCGTCACTAGCGTATTGTTCATCCTCATCCTCTTCGATTGTTTCATTGGAGGAGCTATGTGTTGGTTCTAGTCGATTCTGATTTTGATTGCGCAGCCCATTTCCTTGTCCAGCAGCGCCGTGGTCCTCCTCACGATTTTTCTTTTTACCAAGTTTATGCCGCTTCTTTTTCGCCTGAATGGCGAGTACTCTTCTATTGACGTCTGATTTAGAACTCATTTAGTAAATTAAAATACTTTCAACACCTTTCAAGATATAAAAATTTATCTTTTCATCTCAACCTTTTTGTTTGAGTATGGCGGCCGGTTGCAGACAAGACAGAACAAAATGCGCTCGAACATGAACCTATAGGGTTGCTATAAGTAATTAAACGCCAATTATAATCCACGTTTATCACAGATTGCTTAAAACTGATATTAAAAATTATTTTAAGGAAAATTACAGTAGAATAGCTATTTAAAAAAAAGACGACTTTTAAACATCATTAAAGAAAAGTTTATTTATAAAGGTTGGTATTATGATGTAAAATATTAATAATACCATGTGTCATGTATAAAATTTAGTGGGAAATCAAAAGTGCATTACCAAAAAGAATTACTGCCAGGGTTCTTAAAAATTTAGATGCAAAGATCTTGTTGAATGATAATGGATATATTTATTTTACGTACAAAAAAGTAATTATACTAAATTAATTAGACCATTGTCATTTACTTGTGGTACCATTTACATTTGTCCTCTTTTGATTAATTATTTCATTTGTTTTGGGAGTTAATTTTAACCTAATAGGTAACAAAACAAAACCTCCTAAAGATATAAATAATCCAGAAACGTAAAAAGCAAAAGTATATCCAAAACTACTTTGAATAATACTTGCGAGCGGTGTGCTAACTAAACTGCCCAGGCCATGAAATAGTATCAGCATCCCTGTGGCATTTGTTAATTTTTCTAAGCCGTATAGTGACACTAAAACCATACTTCTTAGACAAGCAGTACTGGCGATACAAAATCCAAATACAAAGCAATAAGCATACTGATAATATATGTCGTATGATATTCCTGATGCTATAGTTCCAATACCCGCTATTATACAAGATCCGGAATACATGTAAAGCGGATCGATTTTACATGCAAGAATTCCTAAAATTATTCTACCAATTGCATTCGAAAAACCTATAGCACTTACAAATAATGCACAGTGATGTGAATCGACCCCGGCTTCTAAATTTCGACTTTGAATAAAAACATATGGTACTAAAAAACCTACATATACACAGAAGGCAGATGCGCACAATAACAAAAATGAACGTTGTTTCAATAATTTAGGATCCATCATTGTCGCCAAAACACGTCTGGCGGCAGTAGTGAAAACACCTCGTCGTTCTTGAATGTCAGCAGTTGTAGCCGCCCTCGATACGGCTAATTGATACTCTAATCCAGTTTTCCCTTCTGCTGTTGTGTCTACCATACTTTTCTGATAAATAGGTAATTTTTCTAATTTACCATCGTAAAACGCATCGTCTCTGTACATCGGACGAGATTCCGGTACATGTTCTTCCCAATGAAACAACCTTCTCCAAAACCCAGGCTTTTTTGAGACTGTATGTGACTCCTGTTCAACGTCCGCATCAATCTGCTTTACATCTTTAATATTACTTCTAGATATCATATCCTTTATTTGTTTTAGTTGTTGTCGACTTATTGCGCTTTGGGGGCCATGAGCCAGCAAGGTAAGTTTAGACACTGGCGTTGTAGATGGGCCTGGTTGAGAGACAGGCACGGCAGCACCTTCTTCAACTATAGCCGCCGCTGTTGGGAAGTTATAATTCGAAACGGCACTGAAAAGTCGTTCTGTCGTCGTTGGTACTAAATTATCTGGCTTTGTACCTGAAGCTGTTAGTTTTAAACCTGCAGCAGATAAACTTGGCAGGTATGTCACAGTGCGTGTAGGATCTTCTGTAGCTTTTATGACCGTTAAGGAGAGTAGCGGCCGGTATGTCATACCAATAAAATATACAAGACCAAAAAGTCCGGAATGTAATAATGTAGTATTACGCCAGCCAGATAAATTAATCAAATAAGTATTTACAGGAAACATTACCATTACACCAAAGCTAGATCCACAAGTTGAAATTGCCATAGCAATCGGGCGTAATTTCTCAAAATAAAATCCTACGATTAAGCCTGACGACAAATTTATCATACAGTAACCAATTCCAGCCAAAGCACCGTAAAATACACACACTGTTGCATAATCAGTTGTAAAATACGTTGCAAATAGAGAAAAAGAACAAATAACAGATCCTGACATAATACACGCTCGAAATCCAAATCTGTTTATGTAAGCCGAAGCGAATGGACCTCCGATAAAGTAAAGAGCAATTGCTATTGAATTTATTAATGCTATGAGTGATTCTGGCTCATTTAGATCCTTACTCATATCCTTAAGAAAACTTCCAAATGTGAAGGAAGCACCATCAAGTATAAAAATACTTAAAAAACTCGATGCCACAACTACCCATCCCCACCCGCCTTCTTGTGGAACAGATATTTGGGCTGTGATTTCAGTTTCTTCGCCACCTGCTAAGTTATCTGGTCTACTAACAACTCGGCTTGGTACGACTAGAATACTCTTCTTATTATCAGTTTTGACTGAAGCACCTTTTGCCATTGTAAAAAAATAGTTCATTTATTATTAATATGATAGTTACTATATAAACTAAATCATATTTATGCATAGCATTCGTTTTAATTGCGAGCAAGTTGTTTTGTTTCTTTTCTCTGTACTTGATAAATAAATATAATTCTATGTTGTCGTTTTCAAAAACGTCCATGACTGTTTAATTGACAATACAGAATAAACATTGATAGAGTATTTAAAGAGCACAAGATTAATTTGTGCTGAAACATTTTAACAATAAATTGAATACTAATTTTGTACCCTGTGTAAGAAATTTGCAAATCTAAAACGCTTCTTTGTAGGTAGTTATAATATACTATTTTTATTTAAAACACTAATATCCTAACAGAAAATGAGGGATGAACTGTAAAAATATAAACAGTAATTGCAACTCTATGCCTATAAAGGTCTGTAAAACTGAGACAAAGAGTGGGTTCAACTATGATAATCCGTTAATTTTAATTTACGGTTATCGTTCGACTCTTTTGTACCATGTGTTGGTACAAAGGTAAGCTTTTTAAAATGGATAGGTAATTATTTTAAACCCTACTAACAGTTTATTAGTTTTATTTAAAATGTATTTTCTTCCTTCGCATAATTAGAAAAATACCTAGATAAATCTGTAAAATAAAACAGACATGGCATGCAGCCTGCGTTCACATTTTGAGTCGATGGTATGGTATTGTCTTTGTCTAGAGCTTATTTCAGTTTGGTTACAGTTGTCAAAAATTAAGTACTTTTGGAGGGAATTCCGTTTGTTGAAGTTGTTGAAAAATTGGAAAAAATATATCCAAAGAAAATTTTATCATGGCCCAAACGACTATTACTACGTTTTTCAATAGTCGAAAGCGGCCAGCATCAGAAGATCTTGTAAATACAAAGCATAAACTAGCGCATATTGAACGTATTCCAGATAACCACAAAGACACTGGACGAAACTCTTCATCACTTAAGAATAATGATGTGGACAATAATAATTTTAAGCCCCATTTTACATGTACAAAAGTGTTGAAGACAGATATAAAGGATAAAGATGAATGCCATTTGACTTCTTCGAATGGCCTTATAAGATCATCAAACCAATTCGAAGTATTTGCAAAAAAAGTTAATGCTAATAATATAGCTAAACCTTCCATTTCCTCAGAAACAGTCTCAACAAATTCTGCTCGTAAAGAGGTAAATTTGGGGGCTAAATCTTCTATTCCTTCAGAAACGGTAACCAGTTCCGCTCGAAAAGAGTTAAGTTTAGGGGCTAAACCATCTGTTTCAATAAATTCAGCTCGTAAGGAATTAAGTTTGGGAGACATCCGAAAGAAATTAGCTAGCAGCTCTAGACTAGCAGAGATTAAAGCAACTGCTGAACGTCTTAGTAAAAATATTCCACTATGCTTAGAAGGTAAAAATAAACAAAATTTGAAAGAATTTAAGTCAATCAATGTGGATGTACCCGTAAGGTTAGTTACATCATTGTATCATTTATTATACTTGATAATTCTTGTATTTATTTTTATAACTGTGCTATCCCTATAATAAATGTTGCTAGAAATGTAGTTAGATTTTGATAAAAACTTGCAGTACAATGTGATCAATTTTTCTGTTCCATCTTTCAGTCCAAGTAAACTTAACAAGGGTTTATTAACACCCAAGAAGGAGGCAAAATCAGAAGTCCAGTTACAAAGACCTATTATTTCACCAAGAAAAGTCCTAGTCAGCCCTATCAAGAGTCCGAATAAGGTAAATAAAATTAAAGACATCTAATCATTTAGATTCTACCTTATCTTTAAATAATTAAAAACATAACCTATTCTTAAAAAGTTTAGAGGAGACAGCATCTCTCACTTTGATAAGCATTGTTAATAATAAAAGTAAATTATAAAATACATTTCTGTAATGTTTTGATTATTTCCATATACTGGGTATTGTAGGCTATATTTTTATTATACTTTTTGGATTTCCAGGTGCCAGCATTTATTAAATTTGCATCTCTAAGCTCATCCACTGCCTCTGAGTCTCACAGCAGTCTCCCCCTACCCTACCAATACAGATTTGTTGGTGAACTCTTCAGGAGCATGGAAACAATTGTAGGCATGCTATATAGCAGGAATGAAAAAATTACTTTTACCAAACTTCAACCCTCTATCCAAGAGATGCTCAAACGAAGATTTACTCTCAAACATTTAGCTCAAATTAAACATCTTGTACCAGACTTTTATAACTATAGCGTTGAGAAAGTTAAGAACTTCACAGCCTCATGTCAGAAGGAATCTTATGAGTTAGTGATATCACCAAATCTCCCTAATGAAATCAAAACCATGAATCTGAGTGTTCTGTTAGAAAGGCGAAGATTTTTCTTCAATACATTGCTCCAAATGGTGAAGAAACATCATGCCCAATTCCTAGCATCATTAGACCCTCCAATGGAAATACCTGATGACAAATTAGTTCGTTGGCATCCGGAATTCGAAATTGAAAAATTACCAGAAATTCCATGCGCCAAATTACCAGAGATGCCTAATGCTGAGAAAATTAGTTCAGCTCAGGATGTCCTTGCTAAAGCTCGTGAATTATTTAAATGCAATCCGAAGATGGGAAAAGCTTTAGAGAAACTAACTGCAGCGAAAATAAATGAAGAAAAAATTACTGAGAAACCTGTCGCTGAAAATTTGCCTAGTACATCTACGAAAGAAGCAAGTCAACAAACAGCTCCACCTACGTTTTTAAATCCTGCCTTTAAGGGATTACCAACAAGTTTATTAGAAAAAGTGAAAGCCAAACAAGCAGCGAAAGCTTTACAATCAATGATGAAGACAACGGAAAAAGAACAACAATTTTATATTTACAGTGGCCTACCAGACTTAGCTAAAACAATAAGAAATATATTTGTTTCGGAGAGGAAAAATGTCTTAGCCCTAAATGTTGTTATTTCCAAATTGGATTGTAGTTTTAAGACCTCAGCAAGTGATTTACAAAGAGATATTAAATTGCTCACAGAAAAAGTACCAGATTGGATAAAATTGCATGAAATAAGAAATACGACATATTTGAAAATAGATAAAAATCGTGATTTGAAAGAAATAACAACAAAATTAGAAGCTTTGGCGGCAGAATTTAAGAGTGATTAATAATTTGTTTGGCAAAAGTGGTTTAATCTGAATGATCATTTTCTATGTTTGTGGCATAATTTGATTGTTCAATCTTGACTTTATTGGTTACACAGACATCTTAGTTTGGATTTTAATTTAGTTTATCTCATTTAGCAACGTAATAAGGTTGTCAATTGACTTAAAATTGAAAATATTTTTACAATATTCAAAATACTTAAATAATAAATTATTAAGTTCTAATATGAAAATATTTTCAGTTTTACAATAATAAGTTTTTAGCTTTCTATTTATTATAACTTAATTTTATTTTAATAATAGTTTTAAATGACTTTCTTAGCATAAGCAATGGACTGACAATAATCATGTTTGATTATTATAAAAAAATAAGTTGGATTAATAAATCCTAAGTGCCTTCATAATTACTTTCAGGTACAAATCAAAAAGCAAACTAAATACAATAAGTTATTGAAAAAAGTTAATTAGGCTATTATAATTTTACGACCATTTGCGATTTTTTTTATATTTTTCAAAGGTCAAAGACATTAATATACTCCATAGACATTAAAATTATGTAAGAAAATAACTTATGTCTAGCTTTGAAAAGTACAAATGTCACGGTGACAAATTTAAATTAAGTTTTTTTTACAAGTAAAAATTATTTTCACATCAATTTGTTTCATTTCAAAATAAAACAATAAGATACAAAAAGGCTTTTATTTTTAATTTATAACATTTTATTGGATTAGTATAAATATAAAGAGATTTTATTGCATTAAAAGGTCGTAATCCGGTACTTTCCCGGTCCTGTAGCCTTCGTAAACTTTCATTAGCACATCTTTGGGCACCAAATAAATTTTCACAGCTGGATCATTCAGCATGTTTTCAACATATTCATTCTGCAAAAAAAATGTATCTCATTGAACTCACAATTTCAAAACCTGATGATAGAAGAAAATACAACTTTTACATTCATTGGTATCTGTATAAAACTAGGATGATTCATCTTTATTAATAAACTAGTTGTTGCCCGCGACCCCTCCCGCGCGGAATTAAAAATAAACTTAATAACTAGCCTATGTGTTCTTCCAGTCCATGTTCTATATCTATGCCAAATTTCAGCAAGATACATGCAGCTGTTCCGGAGAAACCTTCAAACAAATATCCATTCATCTAAACATTCTCTTTTATAACATTAGTAAGATTGTTACACTAGTCCATTAAAATTTAGAAGCATTTACCAATAATTTATATTCAGCACCATCAAATTTCGCTGCTTCATACGTGTCTTGGACAGCGTAAAGCCTTTCTAGCCAAGGCCATATCATGTAGTCCGCGTAGCCTGGCCCATTGCCACCGAAGAATTGAGTACCACGACTCTTCAATTGGTCTTGAATAAATCGCAGTGCATTATTATAAGCAATAATATTATCGTCAGTGATTGTTTCCGGAGCCTTTACGAATTTGAAGAAGACAGTTTGCAACTGAAAAAAAAATTTAAATTTATTTTTTAAATCAATCATGCCTCTTATAAGAAAGTGATACTGTTATTGATTATTGACTTAATAATTAAATACACTTTAGCTGTCACTCAGAGTTACTTAGTGGTAATTAATGGACTGCTTAGTAACAATCTATGTGTGCTGTTCATACGTACCGGTCCAATTGCTTCAACAATGATTTTGTCGTAAGCTTTCGTAACCGGATCCTTTGATATTAACGGTCTTTGATCATAAACTTCATCTAAATATTCCACCGTTACCAAACTCTCGTAAATACATACATCTTCTTTTATTTCTATTGATGGGACTTTGCCTGTAAAACAAATGAAAGTTTTATAAACTTTTATGGAGAATATTAATCCTAAATAGCTGGATACCCTTAATGTAGGGTACGTTCGGGTCTTGAATCCCTCGATGGGAACGTATGTGAGATGTTGATATTCAAAATTCATGAGTCACCTTTATTTTAATATGAAGAGAGAAATTATAGCAACATTGTTTCCTTACCAAAAGCACTTTTACGAGTAAGCCATTCAGGTTTATCTAACAAGTGTACATTAACCACTTCGAAGTCAATGTCTTTGGCAATCAGCGCTAGAATAGTTCGTTGTGCGTATGGACAATAGCGCATGTTGTAAACACGTAGTTTTCCATTGTAAGGAGGCAATGGATCACCTGGAAAATGTTAATACTATATTAAAACACATTTATACGACGAACATTTATTTCAACAGAAGAAAAAAATGGTTATAAGTAAAGTTTCCAAACTAACCTAATCAGGTTTTTCAACTAGCTGGTTTTAAATAATATTGTACTAGTATACTTATCATTGTTTTAATTTATACTTGTAATAATTAACCACTTTTTTACGTTGCAAGTTATAGAATTCGTACAGCGCGCATCTTATTTGAATTTGCCGCCTTTTTGTTTCGCGATAGCCATTTGTGAAATTATGATTAATCATTACATTCAAGAGGAATATGTTTTTCTAAATGATTTTGTACGTATACTGCTAAGGTGAAATAAATTCCCTCAAATGATCTCAAAGGAAACCGTATTCAAACAATTGAAGTCGTTCGTTCTAATTAGTTTATAACCTACCAAATTAAGTACAAATACAAAACAAAGTAAACGCTTATCTTATACTTCAATAATCGAAATGATTAAACTATTAAAAGCTTACCTTTTCTCAAATGTTTTCCATTAAAATTAATTCCTCCTTTGATTGCTTTGTTTGCCATTTTTCTGTAAGTATAAGGTAATACGTATTCGACTACTTGTCGGACTGGTTCTAGAATTTTATACGATGACAGAAGTATATGCATAGCGAAACTTAAAGTACTGGTTATCATGTTGATTAAAATATGTAAAACGCTGTATAAATATAAACTTAGTGTTTGTACGCGAAACAATGACAACGCAGTTTTATAACCTTGAAAACTTGTCTATCGGAATGATGTGTTTGCCTTTGTGTCAATGAAAATATTACGTTGATTAATATTATAAAAGTGCATTTTGCTTGCTTTACTTTGAATAATGCTTGCATTATGCCAGCGTTAATTTTGAGCGCAATTGTTTTACTGTCATCTCTTTAAAAAAGAAAGAGAACATATCTTTGAGCATAGCGCAATTACAACAAACAAATAGAAATAATTAACTGAAGTTTAAATGATGATTGCATATAATCATCGCAAACCACATAAATATGTATCAATATGTGTAAAGTCTTCTCCATATATATCATTATTATTATATACAAATATTACAATAAAAAATCAAATAAAATAAAAAGACAAAAGTGTAAAATTGTAAATTGTACTTTTATTAGAATTACCAAAATAAATATGTTTTATAATAAAGCCAAAAATTTCTGTTACTTACAAAACAGTAAAAGAAAAAGTGCTTAACACTGGACGAAATAATCTATTTCTCAAAAAAAAAATTAACAATGTCTTTTAAAAGCATGAATCATGTGTACATTTTGGGACAGTAAAAATACATTAAGATGTTTCATATTTATTCCTTCTTCTTCCTAGGACGCATGCAGCAAACAGCGCTGGTATCAAGCATATTGTAATCTGGATTGCCTTTAGCCCTAGATTCAATGTATTTGGCATGAGTCTCCGGAGCCAAACAATATGATTTCACGGCTGGTACATTTTTCATTTCCTCAATGTATTTAGTCTGAAATTTTAATGTATCTTACTAATATTATAAATGTAAATGTTTGGATGGATTGATGGATCTCGCTGAAACTTGGAAAACATATGGAACATAGTCTAGAAGTCACAGAGGCTAACAATTAGGTTTTTTTTAATTCGACATTGACCGAGTCCCGGGTAATAGATAGTTTTAAATAATTTTAATCTATTGATACTATATTACTATAATAACATAAATTCAACAATCCTATATAATGTAAATGCATACAATAATGTATGACAAAATTACTTACCAAAGCATCATATTTAGTTTTATCAATAGCAAACTCTTCCTTGCCCAACAACGGCAGAGCTTGGAAACGTTCCAAGAAGGGCCAGATGGTATAATCCACCAAACCAGGTTCGTCACCGTGCAAAAACTTGGTTTTACGGACTTCTAATTCCTTCTGTAAAACTTCAAGACCTTTGTGATAGGTTTCCACCATGGACGGTGTCAGAGCGGGCGAGTTAAATGCGGCAGTATAGTATGCTGATTGAGCCTGAAAATTGTTACAATTAATTTGCTTTTATTCATAATAATGCTAACTATTGCATACTATTAGAAGACTGGGCGATATAAAGTTGTACACAAAGTGAATTTGGTTGTTGTATTAAACAATAGAATTAACAAGACACCACAAATGTAAATACAGTACAACTTAGATAAGCAAGAAACCTATGATTCTTTCTTTCTTTGATGTGTTTCTTGCTTATAAAGGTTTCTGAACCTCCCTTATGGAGATTGTCCATCGGGACTAAACAATAACATTTGCTTACCAAGGTTTTTTATCCAAGTACAACTGTGTAATCAGCATGGGCTTGGCTTAAAGCACCATTAATAACTGTGTTCTCATCAATAACTACATAATAGTAATTAATGATACGATTTTTACGAATTTACGATTTTTTAAGAATCACAGAAACCACACGGCTGGCTGTTTGTCTGTCACAGTACAAGTCTTAAGTAGGTAGAAATTATGTTTGATGAAACATAGACATACCCCAGTAAGTTGTTCAACTAGCATCTTGTCTTGAGCCTTACGGAGTGGGTCAGTAGGCTGCAGGGGCACCTCTGGGTATTTCTCGTCCAAGTAATAGTTAATAATGTTACTGTCAAAGATACCCTTGCCCTGTTCATATTCTAGAGCTGGTACAGTGCCTATATAGCAAAAGAGATAATTAGTAAATAAAAATACAGGAAAGTACAAGTCGAACTGTATTAGTAAGGTATGTTGTAACAATAAAACCTTTTTTTAAAACAATATATAGTAAATGTTTTTTTAATTATACATTTTAGTTGTGTCATGATTTTTATGCAGTAAACATATTCCCTTAGTCATTTCTATCTACTTATGCAGTATAAATGTACAGAAGGTAAACAACCTTACAGATTATATTTTATCTATTGCTTATCAAAAACCACATATTGCTCAACATATTATATTCATATCAATTTATACCACATTGCTAAAAATAGTAATGCATGTTCCATGAAAAATCATTGATGACCAAGTTGAACAAAAAATTTCTTAAGCGAAGAAGAAACAAAGGAAAGGTAATGGTAGAGTGTAAGGCTTAGGGTAGGGTACAGCTGGGAGACAACCTAGGTTGCTTTACAGAAAGACGTGCCACTGGTTAACGAATTAAACAGTTTCGCATAACTCTTTTAACCACTCTCCCCTCAGAGACATGGTAGAAGAGGGGGCGTGTTGCAATATATATCCCAAGCCCTAGTAGAATTATATTGTTACTGACAGTAGAATTATATGGTTAAATGACTTACCTTTTGGGCTGAAATTGAAGATCCATTCAGGCTTCTGATCAAGATTAATAAATACGTGATCGTAAGGAATTTTTTTGGCATTCAGAACCAAAATGCTTCTTTCAGCGTACGGACAAAATCTCATTGCAAATAAGCGCAGTTTTCCGCCGAACGCTGGCAGTTCATCACCTAGTAACAAAAAACCCAATAAGAATCTTGTGAAATACCTACTTTCGTCTGAATAAAACACTATCAACTTACCGGTTTGCAAATGTTTCTCAGACATGGTTTTTACTATGTGAAAAAAACAACAGTAATAATTTCCTTGTTTATGAGAAAATGTTTATAGAAAGAATAATCACTTGGAAGGCCACAAGAGAATTAAGAAAAGAACGATTCGTGTAATGGCAAAAAATACAAGAACAACTTTACAGTTGACAGATCACCAAACCGGATGCCGGTGATATTTCTTTTCTTTGACAGTTCAAATGACAGAATATTTATTATTTGTCAGATTATAAAAGACCAAAGTTCCAACATAAAAATTTTCATTGCAAAGCCCGGAGTCAAAAACTGTATTTTTGGTATTATAATTAAATCGTATCGTTTTCTCTGTAGTCAAAGGGTATTCTCCGTCTGGGGCCATTATATTCTGCCTAATTTTCTATTATATGTTTAAAAGGCGCAGTTTATTTCGCTGCACGGCTAAAACTGTAAAATACTCGCTTAGGTTAATTAAAACAAAACATATTTTTATTTAAAAACATATATTTCTTAGTTACATTAATTACTTTATGACACAACCTGTATCCAACAACTACCAAATGACAAAGTGTAGGAAAATATCAATCGTTTTCATAACGACGAATATTAACAATTCGTTACGGGTTTCTCGATTAAATCAGAGATTCATAAATAAATTAACAATAGACATACGTACAATGAGTATATTTAAACATTTATAACTTAGTTATTGAAATAGTGTGAAGCTAAGCTGGAAAATTGAAGCTGCCTATAACATAATTAACGAATAATAGATTGCATATTCTATTTAAATCTCATTTTTTTTACAGCAACTGGTATTATTAAATTTTCATCCATTTATTTTATCTACATTTAACAACTGGGTACACGGAGGTCGCCGTGACACATATTGTCGTCTCTGTTATTTTCAAAAAGAACGTAAGAGATGTCAATATTTAGAAATAAGTTTCACTACAGTCGAGACCCCTAGTTTAAGCCTGTTGTTAAATTTGGAAGACTTTTAAACTTATAAATTATTAAAAGTAAAATATTAATCGAAAATAAACAATGTTCATTTATTATTCACAAAGTAAAAATTAATTTACTAAAATATTTTTTGTCACGTGCCATAATTTCAAATGAAATAATACATATTCAAAGTAAAGATAATGAAGTCGTTTTTGTTTCATTAATTCAGTTCATTATATTATTCGTTATAACAACCGAGTGCACTAACACAAGTCAAAATAAGTACATTCAAAAACATAAAAACATCGTGAACACAAAAAAAAAATTAAAACAGTGTATAACCCTTTAACAACTGGAGCCAAAAATTATTTTTCTAGAAAAAATATAAGCCCTGTAATTCTAATTATTATGTTTATATTACCAATTAAAGAGTTTTAATTTGGAATGTGGGAATACATGAAAATACACACAGTATAAGAAACAATGAACATGGCCGGTTTAGTAATTCCGGCGCCCTGGGCGAGTATGTTGCGGCGCCCATTTTTTGGGGGTCGAGGGAAATCTTCCAAAGACAGGGTACCTTAAGGGGCATCGCAAGCACCACTTTATATCCGACTCTGGGGTTTGCGGTGCCCCTGGGCGGTACCTCTACATCGCCCTGGACCCTAACGCCGCTATTGACAATGACACTTCTATATAGAGTATGTGATAAAATATTATGATTTGACAACTTTATCAATTTTTATGTACAATTTGACAATCTTGCTTTACTATATTTAATGCACTATTTTGTACTATTTATATAAAATAATTAAGTACTTCTGTTTGAGATACATGAATAAACACTATTTTAAGGTTAAATAAATCCTATGATATACAAAGCGAATATTGTTTTCTTAAACAATGAATAAATAAATTAAGATATTTCTTGAGAAAAATCCATAAAATATTTTTGTAAATTTGTATTAAATACGTGTTCTATATACTGCAATATTTTTTTAAATTATCTCTAGCAAAAAAATGTCTTTTATGTGTAGATTACATGAATTTAAAAATGTAGGCATTCGATATAAAAAATTCTCTTTATCTCTTTATTTTGATCAATTAGTATCTTAGTTTAATCTCTATGGTTACGTCATTCTTTCATTCATTTAACATTCGTTCAATCATTCATACTACCAACATTAAAATATTTACGAAGCGAATATATTAATTATTTTTTATTTGTATTGCTGAGATTTGGAACATTCAGGTCATTAGTGACATAAACCTAAGTTTGATTTTAAATTAAATCCGAACAATACAAAAACAAGTCATAAAGCACCTTTTAAACATAATGAGAACTATAATAAGATTTTATTTACTAACCGAAGGTTTCTGAGAACTACAATCTATGTATAAAATGTATTGTCATCCCTGACATTAACAGAGCAGATAACATAATTATTTAAACTTGGATTTTGATCTTAGAAACCCATGACTAATGAGATTTAATTTATCTTATAAATATTGCCGGAAAATGTCAAGATGTATTTATGTAGAAACAGAAAACAACGTCATCTTTTCTCAAACAGAAAACTCTATCGGAAACATGTTTTTAATAACGAAACATAATCTATAGCATTCCCAGTGGAAATATTTTGTCAAAAAAAATGCAGGTTTTTTAAAATAATAGTTTTGAAATTAAAAACACATTTGTAATGAAATTAGCCGACTCAAAAAATGATGTTTTTATTTTTTTTTATACCCATGAATATAAATGCTTAAATTATTATGTAGCGTTACGTTTTCTTTTTGAATATATTCTGCAGATTGATATTAGTTTTGGATTGGTGGAAGATCTGCGTGACCCTCCTGCCGACCTCCTGCGCGGCCTGCAGGTTGGTGGTGGGTCGCGGCAGGTCGCGGGGGCTGACGCTGACGTCACTGCCTGCTGCGTTCAGTAACGCCTCTATTGATGATTTGTATTGCGACATCGCTCCTGTTTGTACACTTTCTTCTAGTTTCCTATATTAAATTATTTAATTTTTAACTGTCGCTGACGACTAATTCCGCGTAGAAATTAAAAAAAAAACTTAGTAGACTATGTTCTATATCTATGCCAATGTATTAACGTATCCCATTAAGCTATTCTAGAGATACCTTGTAACAAACATCCATCCATCCATACATTGGCATTTATAATACAATATGTTTAAACTGCCTTGCGATAGAGGGCGTTTTTTTATCAAAAGGTGGCAAACGAGCGAGCGGCCACCTGAAATCGCTGAAATAGCGAAGTGATCGTTGCCCATAGACATACGCAATTGCATATGCGTTGCCTACCTTTAATCCACGGAGGAGAGGATGCACAGAAAGAAAGTATTTTCCCTATCCATGCATACTCTCATCCGGAAAGTCCACTTCCACTTCCCATCCTTTCCTTATAAGAAAAAGGGTAGGAAGGGAAAGAGAAGTAAATTAGGCGTATTTGTTAAAGAATCGTAGTATATACAATAGGTACTATATATAACAATCTTGCTTAGATGTACTAACGTTTTAGGCATTTAAGAATATTCATTAAGAGAGATTAATTATAAACATAATAAATTAGTAATATAGTTAATATTAGATAAAAAATAATTAAATTAAAACCTCTTAATATGACATTAGTTAAAAAAAACTTTGGTTATAGCGATTCAAGTATTATACTTCTTTTTAAAATCTAATACGGGTAAGCGAGAGTGTAATTAAGCGAGATAATTTTCTCGGTTAGAGACGATTTTTTCTTCCGAGTTTCTCGCTTATGAATGTTGGAGTCGGACAATGACTCTCTTAGAAATGCATCTCGCTTAACTAATTTCCACCTTATATCGGTTATTACGACTGTATATTGTTGACTTAGACGTTGTTATAACTGAAGTTACATACCTGAGTGCGGGTAATATAGCTGGATGCTGTCGACAGTGATGCACCGCGAGCTGCAGGCCCGGGGTCAGCGATGACACCCACTCCGCTGACAGCGTCGGATGGTGGCATAACGCGCACAGCAATGACACCGCTATAAACACACCAAGGTACAGCGTCAATTTGACTTTAAAATTGTTTCTCGAAGAAGGCTTTTTCGAAGGTTCTACTCTATTTGAAAAGTCTCTTAACTTGTTATAAATAAGATTTCCAGGAATGTAAAAAAAAACAAGCATCACTTGCGACTTCGTCAGCGCGGAATTAAAAAATTAAAATAACGGCTGAAGTGATCTCGATTAAATTTAGCACAGATGTAAAACTTAGTCTGGAAGGACACATAGGTTACTAATTATGTTGTTTTTATTTCGCGCGGACAGAGTCGCGGGGGACTGCTAGTGGTTTATTAAAAGTGTAACCTTGTTCGGAGACAGCGCGGTCGTCAACAGTGGGCAGCACGAGGAGCGCCAGGGATTCAGCGAGACGCGCCGCCTCCCTGTGCGAGAGCGTGCGCCCCCCCAGCCACTGCTCCATCGGGGGCCAGCAGTGCGCGCCGCACGCCAGCCCGCGCACCACGCAGCACCGCGTCATGCTGCCCCACGAGCTCAGCGCCGCCTCGCGCACACAACTTAATCATACACAATTTTATGTACCAAATGGTATGAACGCCCATTTGAATTCGCACAAAATAGCAAACTATTATCTTTTAAACATCTGCGTTTGGAGACGTACAGAAAAAGTATACCCCGTTCCTTTGCGGCCATTCCTCAATCAAATCCACTTCCCCTTCTTATTTTTTCCTTATAAGAAAAAGGTGGAAAGGTAAAGAAGACTAAAATGAGATCTCCTGCATCACACTCATCAGACTGTACACAGAATTGCTTCCACTTGACGCCTGTCTTCTTTGTGGTCGTGGTATTACATCGGGCGATTAGACTTGTTCGTGCAACATATATTATTGCTGGAATCTATCACTGTACACAGCAAAAGGTGGCAAACGAGCAAACGACAATTGACATTCACCAAAATAACGAAGTAACCATTACCACATTGAAGACGAAACACAGAAGTAAATAAAACATTTTATATCCTGAAAATGAAATCAACAGACCATCAATGATATAGCAATATATTACAGCAATACAGACTCACATATCATCATCATAGAGTAGCGCGATGAGTGCAGGCAGCAGCTGGCGCTCCATGCACTCCTCGGTGACGTCCGCCACATTCACCATGTCGGTGAGGAGTGCGGCGATGTGCGCGCGGATACCCGCACCGCTCGCGTTCTCACAGCTGCTCGCACAGACTGAACATAATAAATACATCTTGACGCAATATTTTCACAAAAAAAAAACCATAAAAATTATTATAAAACTAGCGACTGCATGCGACTTTCTCAGCACAGAAAAAAAGAAACCAATATGTCATTAACTAAGTTAATGTCAAAATACCAGCCAAACAAAAATGTCAAAAATTGGCAAGTTATCAATATTATTATTTTTTATTTGATATCACATACAGACTGTCCAGTATTACAATACAATACAATTTATTAGTAATATTTAAATTACAGGTCACAAGAACACGATTTGCAAAAAAAAAAATTCAGTCAATTTTTTTTTTCATATTTTAGAGCTTTTTCGATAAGCAATGATTTTATTCTGTTTTTAAATAATACTAGACTGGTTGCCACTATGACTATTAATATACGTATATATAAATTATGGCATCCGAATAGTTGAGATTACTGAGCTATTTAATATTATTTGTCATAAAAATACTTACACTCCCTTAAATGTTGCCAGAAAAAGCTGAGAACTTCAGGGCGATGTGTTGCCAGCCATTTGAACGGCATAGAAAATATCTTTGCAGGAAGTCCGCGTACACTGCTATACACAATCCATCTAAAATTACGCACGATATTATTTTTACACCTATTTTACACTAAGTTAAGTTAAGTTTACAAATATTTCTCATGCCCAAACTAGAGCACAATTTCATAACAAATCTTACTAATATTATAAATGCAAAAGTTAAGATGGATGTTTGTTAGAAGGTATCTCCGGAACAGCTTAAGCAATCTTGATGAAAGCACATAAGCTACTATTTTTTTTTTAATCCGCATAGACGGAGTCACGGGTAACAAGCTAGTATATCATAAACTATATAAATGTGTGCCTTTTATATCAAACGGTATGTAAAAACACTTGACTTGCAATCTGCAGGTCTTGGGTTCGAACCCTGCAATATACAAATGTGTTTTATTGGTTTCCGAATTACATATGTACATTTATCCGACGTTCTTACAGTGAAGGAAAACAATGTGATGCAACCTGCACATATATGAGAAGAAATTCAAAGATATGTGTGAAGTCAACCAACCCGCACTTGGCCAGCGTGGTTGACTATGGCCTAATCACCCTCAACTTAAGGTAGGCTTCGAGCACCTCGGTGGGGAGGTATAGTGAGCTGATGATGATGTTAAAATTAACTTACTTTTGTAAAAACTCAGCTTGTGAAGGTCCCTCTTCAACCGCTAGTAAAATTGAAGCTAAATATATCCCAACAACAACAGTACTCTCCAAACTGATTGTATCCAATTTTTCCATTTTTTGCTCTAATTCATTTAAAATGTCAATAAATATAGGCTTCATTATGTTACAAGCGAAGTGATATCCGAAATTATCTATGTAAGTATTAAATAATGTAATCAAAAGCTCATAAACCATCGGATGATTTGATACTTTGCAATTGCCTATTATTTCTAACAATTTTCTTATCCTGCAATAAGTTATAAATAGAAAAAGAAATTAGACATTGTCATTGGTTTGTAATATACTTACATTGTTATTAAATAAAAAAAAAGATCATTTATTATATAGGAGACCAATAAAAAAAATTGTACATTTTACAGTGACGTTTATGGAATGGGTAAAAGCATCATCAAAATATTTAGTTTTGTATATCAAGGAGTACAATGAAATACGGATATCTGACAGAGGTGACATCCGGAGGACAGAGGCACTACTATCGCGGTTAGTCTCACAAAATATATAAAACCTACTTACCATTGTTTTCTGACACCAAAATTTCTGTATAAAACATATCGTCATCCCTCTTATCATCTTTGACATAACAGATACAATATGTTTTAAACGGGCATTTTGATCTCAGAAACCCACGGTAAGTCATAGATGACAACAACAGAGTAAGGATTTTGTGTCTTTTGACATTGACAAAGTGGTGCTAATGAGGTGGCATAGTTTAGTTTGATTGTCCACCCAGTCAGGTATCCTTGTCAATATGATTATTAAAATGTAAACTCACCAATCATTAAACCAGTCAAGCTCCGTCCATCTAACCGAAGGATCTTTAATTAAACTGTTCATAGCTAACAACAACATCTTTGCGTCCACACTGTCACTTATATAACACTGTACATCAAGAAACTTCTCTTCAGACCCCAACGGCACATCTTGTAAGTTAATTGTCTTCATATCACAGTTACTTAAGTTCACATCCCTAACTATTTGTACATTTATCACGTAAGCCAGCTTCGCCTGTACTAGACTTTTGATCACTTCTAAATTTAATATAACACTCTTCCATTCATTATCAGAAGTAGATTTTATTAAACTTGTCATAACACGATTGCATAGATCTGATGAGAATTTACCTGGAAAGGATAAAAAAAAAAAATATTTACTAATTTTAATGTACAGTTGGGTATGCCACTTGTGAAGAAAAAATATTTTTAACATCTTGTATGCTTTAAAACGATAAAGGTAAGTACATAAGGTACAATAGCATATTAATTGACAATATACAATGGTTGTGGGTTAAAAAAAACCTTCCAACTGTATAAAAATATCAAATTAAATTTAATTCAATTATTTATATAAAAAAAATCAATAGACTAAAAAATAATTTATTTGTAAGAAGGTGCAAAGTTTAAGTTCATTGCATGCATGATTTCTGTAACTATAACACCGCCAACGAAGCAGACTGTACATTTATTACAAAAACTGAAAAATTAAAGTATAAATAAAATACACATACCAGCCATCAAAGCGCTCCTCGCTAACGTCGGTACGAACACATTGATTGTATCCTTAACATTCTTTTCCACTGGGTCTTTTAAAAAGCTAAACATGAGATTCTCCAACTGATTATATTTATGATCCGCGACCACACAAACAAGACACGCAGATTTCAAACCAAGACTACGTACTTCTGGTTCACTGGACTCGCACATAAGTGCCACAAGACTTAGTAGTAACGAAGTACATAACTCTACAGGTACATAAGGAGCTATAGCCAGACATATCTGACTAGCTAATATCCTACGCTCTGATGACCTTGAGGCTAATAATTCTGCAACGGATGATAAGACTTCCGCAGCCCCGCCCCATTTCACCACAAGACAGACGGCTGAAATAAATACATATAAAATGAAATCTTTTAACAATTTATTATGTACTAGTTGTTGCTTGCGACTCCGTCCGTGCGGAATTAAAAAACTGAATTAATGTGTTCTTCCAGACTGATTTACATCTGTCCTAAATTTTATGAAGTTCCATCGAGCCATCCATCCGTCTATCTAAACATTCGCATTTATAATATTAGTAAGATTAATTTAAATAGTAAGGAATTACTACAAGAACTCGGGTCATAATGGAGTTGCAACGTTGATAAAGTTTTTTCTTACTGGTAACACTTAAAACTTGTAGGTCTGTCAATGTCAATAAACTGTCAAAACATCCTTATGGAATATACCTTCGCATATGATCCTTGCGTCGTTAGGTTCAGGTTTCTTGAGCAGAGTGAGCAGCGTGTGCAGCAGACGGGCACGCCGCGCCTCCGCCGCAGAGAGCAGCGCCGCGCCCGCCGCCAGCAGCGCCGCCGCCTCGCTCCGCCGCGACACCAGCGTGTGCGGCACTATCTGCACACAGCACATCTCTTACTGCACATTTAATGCCTGGTTTACATTATACCAGTAGTACAGTAGCGCTGGCCTAGCGTAGACTGCATCACCTCACCAGTTAGCGTTTCATTTATCCAGTTATACGCCAACGCTAATTTTGAGCGCTCCTTTAAATCCTAAATGGCGCCAGTGAGTCCAAACAGTTTAT